AGACCAGGGAGACGGGGAGCAAAGCCAGGGAGCACGTGGGCAGTGGACAGCCCAGACGCGCCGCGGCTGTCCCGCTGCCGGCGTGTTCCGCGGCTTTGCTCCCCGTCTCCCTGGTCTGCTGGTTTGCAGCAGACCAGGGAGATGGGCAGCAAACCCCGTTCGTAACTGCGGATCCGACATAAGTCGGATCCGCGTAACTCGGGGACTGCCTGTACTTATGAATAAAATGTCAACATATTTAGAAATCTTCCCATTGGGCCTGTGCCCAAGGGAGCAGCGCTCTATGTGGAACATTACCACATGGTTGGGAATGTGGGCAAATATGTCTGTGACTACCCAGGTCTTCTGGCCAAAACCCTCTTTGAAGGGACACCAGCAAATACTAGAGTGGAGAAGCAGCTATCAGTACTATTGCTCATACTGGAGTAGAAGTTACACTGTTGCTCTGAGGCTTTGAGAGATCATAGTAAAGTATTTCCACCAAATCAGAGATCCTTTGCACAAAACATATTTACTATGCTTTGTATAAGGGATCAAGATTTGGCCCTGAAACACAGGGTGAAGTCCCAGCCTCAATGAAGTCAGTGGAGCCAGGATTTCATGCTATATTTTAATTTTAAAATCCAGAGAGATTCTATCTTTGAACAGTTTTTTTTGTATGCATCTCCCCTTTCTGCCCAACAACAAAGTTGTTTCTGCCCATATCTCAGCAATCCATAGAACAAACAGGAAGCATTTGTCACATTAGTAAATCATGGTGCTCATTTTTATTTTTCCTGCATCCCCAGGGCAACATTGCTTTGGAACCACATGAAGCTGAAGATAACAACCATTGTCTTTGGGAAATGCTCATCAAAAGCAAATTTCATGGAGTCCTGTAAAGGTATTTCTATGACTTCAATCAGCTCCCCCTCTTCAGGCTGGCCTCCACCTTCTCCTGTTTTCATCTGGTCTGTTACTTCTGCATAAAATAAGGTTTGCTGAGAACCTGTCACACCAACTCCAGACCTAGAAAAAAAAAAAAAAAAGAGGAAAAACTTCACTTTTAAGAAAATAATTATTTCATGCCTAGGAGGCTCGGGCTATGGCCTTTGATTAGTGTTCTTAAGCAATACCAAAATACAAAATACAGTAATTCATTATTAATAAATATTAAGTGTACGAAGTGACATTATGGACCTCTTTTTATTAATAAAATGTTAACTAAAATTGTCATGCAGAAATATTAGTGCACTTTTGAATTCAGTTCCAGCTTAGTACATATATGACTACAGTTACATTCTGTAGCTGTACTGAATGTTTATTTTGAAAGGAGATGGAATAATTGATCTAACAAATGGAAGATTCTTCAATTGACTTCAGAGGGAGTTTGTTTGGGCCCTGATCCATAGGAACTTGCAAACAACAGGGTGAAGCTCGTTTGCATGTTACATTTGTTTACTTATTTTTATAAGAAATTTTGGATTTCTGATGCTTAAAAAGATTAAATTCATTCACAGCTGGAGTCCTCTATTCACATGCAAGAATGGAATGGCAGCATGAGATTCTTTACTCCACCCTACCTAGCCCTTTTGCCTTGACCCAATGGACCACTGTTAGAATGAATGTATCTAATTCAGCCTCTCAGCTACATTTGTTATCATGGATTTAATTTAGGATAATTTAGATTATGCAGTCTTTCTTCAGATAGACTACTTGCTGTGTGTTATACTTCTTATTTGCTAATCCTCTATTTCTTAAGAACTATTTTATTTAGTTTTTTTTTTTAAATAAAAAAAGAGATAAGTACATAATCCACTCACTCGGCCCTTCCAAGAAAATAGTTACATTGCAACTGCAACTTCTGCATTTCCTGTGATTACAATAGACTTTTCAGACATATTAGGGGCTGATCCAAAGCCCCTGGAGCTCTGGATCAGGCCAAGAATGCTGAAGAATTACCCTTAATATTTTGCACAAAGGCTTACAAGATTTGTAGTTGATTAATTATTTTTATTCAATATATATATATAGTTTCTATTAAATAAACATCTTACAGGATATAACCCTTCTTACCCAATGTCTAGATAACTAAATCTCCCAGTTAATTGAAATTAAAACATATCCCCAATAGGAATTCAAATAAGGCAGTATTCCTTCCATTTTCTAAACCAAACCTAATTATTTTGGCTTGGACGGCTAGTATTAATTAGACAGTTTGTTGCTATATCAATACACACAGTCTGTTTTCTATATGAAAACAGAATTGGGAATGAACAAGCTTGATTCTCATCTTATCTCTTCCACAGGTATGCTGCACTCAGTTTCTGCATCTGTAAAAAGTGGATAATGAAACTTACTTATCTCTATGATGATCTTACAAGAGACTAGGAAGAAGTGTGCTATGTAAGTATTCTATCTAGTTTGTGCTCTTTCTGATTTTCTATTTTTCTGATACATTCCTTGGCCTCAGATAATGTGATCTGCGGGAGGTAACAAGAGAGCAGGCTAATGGGCTTTTCTCCTTTTTCTCCCCGCCCCGTCTTTGCTGAATGATGTCACCTGCTTTCTCAGTAAAACTGAATGACTATTTATTGTCTGTAATGACCTGCTTTTTGCAGCCACTGTTCTTAGCATTCGTATCCTCTTATGGTGGCTATCATTGCTGGCTTGTCAATAAAACAAGCTATCCAGCACTGACAATAATTCACAGACCTGATAAACCACCAGCACAAGATCAAATGCCTTGTCTGGACCCACACTGCCCTTTGCACCCTATTTCCTTTTCTAATGAGAAGCTGCTCCCGATAATAACTCCTTTCCTCAGCCACTCATCTCAGTTGCAAGGGAAGATCCAATGGCAGAAGTCACTATAAAAGTAAGGGAGACCCATTTTTCATGAAGTTGCTATCAGCAGCCAGTTTTCTCAAGTTGGAATGCCATTTTTATGCTAACATTCTATTAGTGTTCTATTAGTGTGATAGAAATGTAGCCGTGTTAGTTTGGTGTAGCTGAAGCAAAATACAGGACTATGTAGCACTATTTGATCTGAGGAAGTGGTTCTGGCCCACGAAAGCTCATCATCTAATAAACCATCTTGTTAGTCTTTAAAGTGCTACATAGTCCTGTATTTTGCTCTCTCTATATGTTCTTGTATATAATAAGCAATAAGGCATGATGCTAAAAAGCAACACTGGAGATGAATCACTGATTAAAAACAAATAGTTATTTCAGAATCCACCACAGCCAATCTCTTTAAATCCTAAGAGGAGTCCAAGTTGCTCTGTGAGGGTGTGTCTAGACTACATGCCTCCTTCGACGGAGGCATGTAGATTAGCCAGATCGGAAGGGGGAAATGAAGCCGCGATTAAAATAATCGCGGCTTCATTTAAATTTAAATGGCTGCCCCGATCTGCCGATCAGCTGTTTGTCGGCAGATCGGGGCAGTCTGGACGCGATGCGCCGACAAAGAAGCCTTTCTTCATCGGCACAGGTAAACCTGGTTTCACGAGGCTTACCTGTGCCAATGAAGAAAGGCTTCTTTGTCGGCGCGTCGCGTCCAGACTGCCCTGATCTGCCGACAAACAGCTGATCGGCAGATCGGGGCAGCCATTTAAATTTAAATGAAGCCGCGATTATTTTAATCGCGGCTTCATTTCCCTCTGCCGATCTGGCTAATCTACATGCCTCCGTCGATGGAGGCATGTAATCTAGACACACCCTAAAAGTGCTAGCCTTGCTTTCTTCACCTTGCTATCATGGGTGTAGTTTGGGAGGGAAAGAAGAAGGGTTATTCCTCCCTCCTCCCTCCACTGACTGCAAGCCTTCGGCAGGCATGGAATTTGCATCTCCAGATGTGGACCCATCAGCCTGGTTGGAGCAGGCTCCTCAAATATAGAACTCAAGTTATGCCCAGGTTAGCTTTCCACTGCTAATCTCCACCCTGGATGCTATATTCCACGTTGTTCTGTTTAACAAAATTGTAACTCAAAATACCTGTTTGTCATGGAATATTACATTGTTTTATATAATTTATTTTAATTACTGGTCCTCATTTTCCTGTCCCTTTCTATTGTTGTTATCTAAGCATTGTTTTTCTATAAGGGGCACTCTGTTTTTCACCATCTATAAGAGAAGGAGATATTCTTTTCTCTTGATGTTCCTTATATAGATTGGGATTTGTCTTTTATCAGTTATTTTTGGAGGAATTGTGTATTTAATAATTGCAAAAGTACACAGAGCCTGGGATTTGGTATTTTTAAGTAGAAACTTAAAAAAAATGAAAATAAATGTTGGATTTAGACTGTAAACTCCTCAGCATAGGGAATGTCTCTTGTTAATCTCTATAGGTGGCATGGTAAATTACAACACTACAGAGGTGTTTAATAATACATGAATAAATAAATAAAATATAGCTGCCAGCTATCTCTCTTTCTGCTCTTGATTTGCTCTCACCTTATTGTCAGGTCAGTTCTAGTCATTTGTATCATATTGTGTTTCATCCAAAAATAACAAGAGGAAAAAACAGTTTTGAGTAATAAAACATATTCCTTTCCCTTTGAACCTGCTTCTGAAGCTCATTACCTTTTTCAAGGAACAGAACTGGTATACATCTATAGTTAGACAATGAAAACATTAGATGTAACCTAGACAGTTTCATATTCAAGCCAAGGATCAGTCTGCAATCCACCAAGTTTAAAAACATATGACCCTTATATAAAAGACCCTTCCACACAAACTTTCTGCCTTAATCATTTACAGGGTAATCTTTTCCTATGTTACCCGTGACCTTTTACTTTTGAAATAGCTGCACAGCTGTGGGAATCATGGAGTTCTCCCACCATACATCTTTTCTTTAGTGTAGAAGAAAATTGTTTCCTGAGGCACAGCATCATGAGAGATCCAATTTCTTGCCACAGCACCTTAAATAGCTTATTGATTTCACTTCAGGATATTATTAACGTATATGATACACCTACTTAGTAAAGCCTTACTTCAAAATATCAAGATGGGCTGTAATTCTCAAACTTAAAATGTTTTTAATTGATGTTTGGCCTAGATCACTTATGTTTCCTTTACTGTAGTGCCTGGGACTGCACACAGTTTAGGTCATATGTTGCCCTATGCATACTGAAATCAATGGAAGTTTGGGGTAACAAAATTTTGTGGTAGGATATGGCCACAGGTTCATGTTGTTTATTCTTTGCTTTGTATTCTCTCTCAATGCCATTTGAGTTGTCTTGAATTAGTAGTTTTAAAATAAATATCTGCCTGCAAAATAAGCAATATTCAAGAACAAAGGGTCTAATAAATGCTTTTCACTGCAGTGTATTTTACCCCTTTCTCCAAGACTTTGTATTTCTACATCTATTTATTTTCTAATACAACAGCTCTTCTCAGTATTAAACTGGCTAACTCTGCATACTTTGTATAATATTACAGTATCTTCTGTATAAGATTACATTGATTAGGTTATGCCTAATGCTTTCATTGCTAAACTAGATCTATCTCACTTTGGTTTCCAAAAAGTCATCTGCTTCAAGAAGAGATCAAAAAAGAAAGTGATATATTTTGCTGCACAAAAAGGATCTATTTCCATATTTTCCCACTTGCTGTTTTTTTCTCTAGATCACTTGTGTCCAAACTTTTCCTGTCATACCCGACTTTACCAGCCATTGAAGCTGTTCATCCTGGGAGTGGAGTGGAGCTGGAGCTGGGCGGCAATTATGGCTGGGGCCAGAGCTGAGCTGAGTGGCAGTCCCTCTCCCCCCCCTTTTGGGGGGGGGGAAGGGGAATGACCAAGGTTCTATTGCATGCCTCCAAGTCTTCCTCAGTGCCCCTGCATGTGGCACACCCCACCCTTTGGGGACTAGAGGATTTGGTTTGTTATCTTCTGGTTCAGTAAAGTGTCATCTTCTCATGGATCAGTTGCATACATACAAAATGTGAAATGACTGCCTACAAAGGAGAACTGCAGAAAGCAATCTGCGGATCACAGTGGATCACAAGCTAAATATGACCCCCCCCCC